TTGCGTCGCTCACCTGTGTCTGCGCTCTGTTTTCGCATCGGGCCACCATGGCCCTGTGCTTCCAGGACTCGAGGAGCGGCCGCGCGGCGGCGGCACTGGGCCCTCCAGCGCGAGCCCCCTACCGTTGCAGTCAACGGCGGGCCAGGCAGGCCATAATGCCCGTTCTCGCCCCTGCAGGAAGCGAACCCTCGGACATTTGTAGGTGCCGCCTGGTCTGGCTCACTCCTCGGCGGCGCCCTCCGAGGCCTGCGGGCTCGCTGCCTCGGCCTGGGGGGCCCACGGCTCCAGGAGCTCCGAGAGCGAGGCGCCCTGCGAGCAGAGCTTGTCCGCGCGCACGAACTCCGAGCGCAGGTGCTGCAGGCTGGCCGCCGTCATGCACGTGCCCAGGTTGCATGTGGCGTCGAACGGGTCCTCGATGCTGGGGCCCGGCTGCGGGCTCTGGCCCTGGTCGTCGCAGATGATGTGCAGCGGCAGCCGGGCGCCCGGGGCCCCGCGCGTGCCCGCCCGCACCGAGACGGCCTCCGCGCGCCAGTCGAACTGGGCGCCGTAGAACCGGAAGAAGGCCTGCAGCAGGCCCGCGACGGTCACGGCCACGGCGCTGCCCCCGCTGCTCGGCCCGGCGGGAGCGCCCCGGCAGCGGACGGCGAGGCCCGACGGGGTCATCCCGCCCTCCAGCGGCGGCAGCAGGCCGCCCTCGCCCACCTGCAGGAAGTACACGGAGAGCAGGGCCCACGAGTACAGGGAGAGGTGGCCCCGGGCCACGTGGCAGAGGCCGCGGTCCTTGGCCCAGCGCTTGACGAGCAGCACGAGGCCCTGCGCGCGCGGCTCCACGCGCGCGCACTCGGCGAGGAGGGCGGCGTTGCAGACGGGGGTCACCGTGTTCACGGACAGGTTCATGGGCACCGAGCGGAGCGCCGGCGGCGAGATGACGACCACCTTCGGCTCCTCGCCCCGGAACGCCGAGCGCCGGAACTTGAAGCCGGCCTCGGACACGAGGCGGTCCGTGCACGCGCGCACCGCGGCCTTGCGGAGCTTCAGCGGCGTCCTCTCGCCCTCGCCCTGCTTGCCAGGCCTGCGGCCGGCCATCCGGCTGGCCATGGCCTCCGGCGTGGCGCTGATGACGATGTCGACCTCGGGCACCGCGACGCCGAAGGCCTTGCCGCTGGAAAGGCTGGCGCCCACGAAGCCGGTGACCTCGGCGCCGGGCAGCAGCGGCTGCACCGCCCTCTTCACGGCGCAGGCGATCTCGGCCACAGCCTCGGTGGTCTCGGTCGTTGGCGTCAGCTGCAGGAGCAGCTCCTCCACCTCGGCCTCCCACCCCTGGCCGCTGAACGTGGGGGCCTGCACGGGCACGGCGCTCGGCTTCCAGGTCTCGGCCTTCTGCTGTGGTGGCTCCGCCGGGGCTCGCTCCGCCGCCTTCGCGGAGGGTTTGCGGCGCTGCTGCCTGTCGGGGCCGTGGGGAGAAGCGGGCTGGGCCAAGGCGCCACTGCGGCCGCTGCCCGGCTTTCCGTTGGGCGCAGGCTTGCGGTCGCGGTCGACGCTGGGCTGCAGCGCCTGCGCCAGCACGAACCCAACGACCCCGACCAGCAGCGAGATCACGTGCGAGGTCGACAGCGGCAGGAAGGAGCACACCGTCGCCGCGGCAACCACGGAGAGACTGCGAGCGTCGCCGCGGAGCTTCAGCTCGCCGAGGAAGGGGGTCTGGGTCACACGCGCACAGGCCATGGCTGCCTGGATCGAAGGCGTGTGGAAGGTTAGTATGCGATAAGGGGATGCGAAGCGAACTTCACGGAGTGGGGATTCTCCGGATGCAACAGTAAGCTGAGCCTGGTTTTTAGAACTTGAGCCCACAGGGCCACCGTGGAGGAAGAGGAGCGGGGAGGATAAAGGCGAAGATGAAGGAGGCGACGGTTAGGAGTTGCGTAACCCTGTGCCCCGGATAATCCGCCGGCCCCCTTGTGGGGCCACCAGGCTGTAGGCGCGGGTTCGCAGTTTCCAGTACCAGTTGTAGCTTGTAGTTTCCAGTGTTACAGTCCTGCTTCTTGCTGGTTACTGTAACTAGTTGACTGACCGCGCGAGGGGGGGGAGGCCCAAACGGGACTTTTAGCACCCCCTGGGCGCGTTGTCTGAATTGCTGGGGGAGCTCGAAATCGACACCCCTCACGCAGATCCGCGGGGTCAGGGTCCAAAAACACAGGGGATTTGCCACATTTCTGAAATTCGGTGCCACCCCTCACGCAGATCCGCGGCCTCACGCTGATCCGCGGGGTCAGGGTCCAAAAACACAGAGGATTTGCCACATTTCTGAAATTCGGTGCCACCCCTCACGCAGATCCGCGGGGTCAGGGTCCAAAAACACAGGGGATTTGCCACATTTCTGAAATTTGGTGCCACCCTTCACGCAGATCCGCGGGGTCAGGGTCCAAAAACACAAGGGATTTGCCACATTTCTGAAATTCGGTGCCACCCCTCACGCAGATCCGCGGGGTCAGGGTCCAAAAACACAGGGGATTTGCAACATTTCTGAAATTCGGTGCCACCCCTCACGCAGATCCGCGGGGTCAGGGTTCAAAAACACAGGGGAGGGTTTTGCCACATTTTTGAAATTCGGTGCCACCCCTCACGCAGATCCGCGGGGTCAGGGTCCAAAAACACAGGGGATTTGCCACATTTCTGAAATTCGGTGCCACCCCTCACGCACATCCATCGCAAGGCGTGGTAACCCAAACTGCGAGTACTCCCTCGGCCCTTTAATCCCAAGGTGTGGTAACCAAGCTCGTAAACCATACACGTCTTACCAATCGCCCTGTGTGGTAACCCCTCTTGTGATCAGTTGGTTTTGCCGATTGCGAATCGGCCTCGCATGAAGTTCCGATACTGCTGCACGACAGCGCCAAAGCCTCATGACTTACCACTTCCATGGCCCATTCTCCGAGAGAGGGGGCCGGCGGCAGGGGGCGAAGCCCTTACGGATAATCACTGAGGGATAATCAGACTCGGGGGTCTGGCGGGGATAATCAACGATTCTTCCCGGGGAAGGTGATGCTAGTTGTAAGTTGTGATAACGCTGATGACGATAATGATGAGGATGGTGATCCTGGCGCTCGTGTAGACTGACCTTGTAGTAGTAGTAGTAGTAGTAGTAGTAGTAGTAGTAGTAGTAGTAGTAGTAGTAGTAGTAGTAGTAGTAGTAGTAGTAGTAGTAGTAGTAGTAGTAGTAGTAGTAGTAGTAGTAGTAGTAGTAGTAGTAGTAGTAGTAGAGTAGTCGAAGGAAGGAAGGAAGGGAGGAAGGAATGACGGAACTAGTAGTAGTAGCAGTAGTAGTAGTAGTAGTAGTAGTAGTAGTAGTAGTAGTAGTAGTAGTGGTAGTAGTAGTAGTAGTAGTAGTAGTAGTAGTAGTAGTAGTAGTAGTAGTAGTAGTAGTAGTAGTAGTAGTAGTAGTAGTCGTCATCGTCGTAATAGTAGTAATAGTAGTGCTAGTAGTAGCAATAGTAGTAGTAGTAGTAGCAGCAGTCGTAGTAGTAAGAGTAGTCGTACTCGTCGTAATAGTAGTAGTAATAATAGTAGTAGTAGTAGTAGTAGTGGTGGTTGTACTAATGGTATGATTATTATTAGTAGTAGTAAAGTAGTAGTAGTAGTAGTAGTAGTAGTAGTAGTAGTAGTAGTAGTAGTAGTCGTAGTAGTAGTAGTAGTAGTAGTAGTAGTAGTAGTAGTAGTAGTAGTAGTAGTAGTAGTAGTAGTCGTAGTCGTAGTAGTAGTAGTAGTAGTCGTAGTAGTAGTCGTAGTAGTAGTAGTAGTAGTAGTAGTAGTAGCAGAAGTAGTAGTAGTAGTAGTAGTAGTAGTAGTAATAATAGTAGTAGTACGACTGCTATACTACTACTACTACTACTACTACCACCACTACTACTACTACTACTACTACTACTACTACTACTACTACTACTACTACTACTACTACTACTACTACTACTACTACTACTACTAGAAGGAAAGAAGGAAAGAAGAATAATGGTGGGAGAAGGAAGAGAGCGGAGGATGGCCCTAGGATTTTTTCCCCGACATGTCTTGGATTCGGAACCTTGGATTTTTACCGATAAAGACTGATTCTTTTGTATCGTTTTCGAAATCGCATGTGGGGGTGTCCATGGTGGGCACCTTCCGGGGATACAAAAGAAACCCAGGATAAACAAGTTCGGGGCCTGGGGGGGGGACAAGGGGAAGAGGGGGACAAGGGAGAGGAGGAAGAAGCCCATGGCCCTGCCGCACGTTCGTGACTTGGGCAAACTGAACTGGTGAGAATCCCACAGCCCTGCCACACGCTCGTGATTGCGGAAGCTGATCTGGTGAGACCACCATGGCCATGCTCAGCGTTTTTGATGCTGTTACTAGCCAGCATGATATGATAGCAACTTCGATTCGCAACTTCCCCCGTGGATTATCAAGTTCGGCCTCCGCGCCCCTCTCCACAATTACATCCTATTGAACCCGGAGAAACAAACAGAGGGGGGAAGGGGGGGGACATTTTTATCCGGGGCACTCGGTTACGTGATCGCGATCGCGATGGCGATGAGGCCCAGGCATGCCCGCTGCTGAGCGGGAGCAGAGATGAGCGCGGGACGGGCAACAGAACGACTGAAGCGGGCCCCGAACAGTGCCGGCACCTGGCTGACACCTCTGAATCACACAAAGGCGGGCCTGCCTGGGCACGCCGCTTGGGGCCGCTGGGCCGCGCGAGCCAGAGGCGCCCAGGGGGCCCCTCCTGCGCGCCCCCCCTTTCGGAGCTGGCCCTGCCCCAGGGCCGCTGCAGGCCTCTCCGCTCTCGCCGCCGCCGTCATTGCCAGCGTCAGTCAACTCCGCCACCGTGCCTGGAGGCACGAAGTGGATTGTCCGCAGGTGCCCTCGAGTCCTGTGGATTGAACAGTCATACTGCCCTGAAGGGGCAGCGGCGGAGAGTTCTGGGCGATCCTGGGATGGCCTCAAGATCCAAGGTGTCCCCCAAGCGGGCCCCACGAGGCACAAGTCATTGATCCCAATCGGGATAATCTATTTTTGCGTTCTCCATTCCGGGCTTCCGACGCTCCAAGATGGTGAGCCGAAGGCAACTAGATCCGCGTTGCTTACAAGAGGGGCTGCTGGCATGGCAAGTGTCCTACTACGATTTGAACCCTTTCAAACAAATCCCAGTGGCCTCTGGGTTCAGCCACGATGACTGCCAGAGGGCCCAACATGGCCTCCAAGACATCCAAGATGGCCTCGGAGACCGCCAAGATGGTACCCAAAAGGCCTAACATTACGCCAAGATGGCCCAAGCTGGCCCAAGAGGCTCCCCCCAAGAGGCCCCCACCACGGTCCAAGTGGCCTGCAACGGGACCCCCAGGAGAGCCCGTAGATTTCAAAATCCCTGATGTTCCTATAACTGTTAGAAAGATTGGGCAGTTTGCTCTTTTCTGGGCTTCCAACGGTCCAACATGGCCCAAGCGATCCCCCAGATGGCCCACGAGGCCTCCAAGACGGCCCAAGGGCCCCCCAAGACGGCCGCAAGACGGCCCACGATGGCCCAAAAGACCTCCAAGACGATCGAGGTGGCCTCCAAGACGCCTCCGAGACGGCAAAGACGGCCCCAAGACGGCCCAAGAGACCTCCAAGACGCCCAAAATGGCCTTCCGGACGCCTCCGAGACGACAAACATGGCACCGAGACGGTCCAAGATTGGGCCCCAAGATGGCCCAAAACGGCACACAAGAGGCCGCCAAGACGGCCCAAGAAGCCTCACCGAGGACCCCCAGGATCAAGAGAGAACAACCCACCCCCAAGCCCACCAGGATCATTTCTAGATGCTTTCCCAGAACGCCTGTGGATGTAGTCGACGCGCTCTGACGGCGAATAGTTCAAATCGCCACCTACCTGGCTGCATTAGCCATTGTATAACATCGCGGCTCCCTTTTACATGATATATATATATATATATAAACACATTTATACAGACACATCTACCTACATACGGAAAGCTGTATTTGAGATCCGCCGCCGTGCCTCTGGCACAAAATGGAATGCCCCAAGGCTCATGCAGCACTGGGAGGGCTGTGCTGCTGCTGCAGCCGAAAATGTAAGTATCGTTTCAGAGACCCCCGAACTTGTCAAAGAGGGCCCCAAGTCACCCCAAAATTGCTCCAAGACGCCCAAGATGGCCTCAAGATGGCCCAAGAGGCCTCGAAGACGCCACAAGAGGGCCCCAAGAGGCAAAAATCACAGATGTTCCGACGGTTGCTGAAGGATTTTGGCGTTCTCGCCCGTTCCGCCTTCCAACGCTCCAAGACGGCCAAAAGCGGCCACCAAAATGGCCCAAAGACGGCCCAAGAGGCGCCCAAGACGGCCCAAGAGGGCCTCAAGACGACCCCACAGGGAGCCCAAGAGAGGGAGCACGAACCGAACGTCCGATCCTTCCGCAGGCCTCCAGGAGGCCCCAAGAGGAGCCCAAGAGGCCCCAAGAGGCCCCCAAGAGGCCCCCAAAAGGCACCAAGCGGCCCCCAAGAGGCCAAAAGGAGGTTCCAAGAAGCCCCAACACGGCGCCCGAGATGCTTCAAAACTGCCTCCAAGAGGTCCCGGAGAGGCCCCCCACGAGATCCCAACAAACACTCAATATGCTTCACGGTGACGGGATGGGTCGAAGGCCGTCTGATAATATCTATACATATATATAGATATGTATGTATGTATGTATATCTATATAACCGCTTGCTCGTTGAATTGAAATCGCGCTTTCGTGTATGAAGATGGACCGTTGCGTGTGCGCCAAGACCCGATATGAGCAATGGTCCAGGGAATATCGGGCGTGACATGCGTGAAGAACAACGTTTGTGCGACACTTTACATATATAATATTACAATTATAAGTATATATCGATATGTGTGTATTTGTACGTGTGCATCTATGTGTGTGATCAGTTCTTGGTTATCTAGGATTAGTATGA